ATTTGTTTTGTACTCTGAGAAGATTTAATTTCCTCGTGTTTACCATATCTGAGTAATTGAAATTTCTCATCGTTGAACTTCATATTGTTTTCTGCAGCCCACTGAAAGATTTGGTTGATGTCCGCCTGGAGCCTTGCAGTGTCTGCAATGGAAGACACTGTCATGCAGATTCGGGTGTCATCTGCAAAGGAAGACACGGTGCTGTGGCTGACTCCTTGTCTATGTCAGATATGAGGATGAGGGACAAGATGGGAGCGAGTACTTTGCCTTGTGGAACAGAGCTTTTCACCGTAGCTGCCTCGGACTTTACTCTGTTGACTACTACTACTCTGTGTTCTGTTAGTGAGGAAATTATAGATCCATCGACCGACTTTTCCTGTTATTCCTTTAGCACGCATTTTGTGCGCTATTACGCCATGGTCACACTTGTCGAAGGCTTTTGCAAAGTCTGTATATATTACATCTGCATTCTTTTTGTCTTCTAGTGCATCTAGGACCTTGTCGTAGTGATCCAATACTTGAGACAGACAGGAGCGACCTGTTCTAAACCCATGTTGCCCTGGGTTGTGTAACTGATGGGTTTCTAGATGGGTGGTGATCTTGCTTCTTAGGACCCTTTCAAAGATTTTTATGATATGGGATGTTAGTGCTATAGGTTTGTAGTTCTTTGCTGTTGCTTTACTGCCCCCTTTGTGGAGTGGGGCTATGTCTGTTGTTTTTAGTAACTGTGGAACGACCCCCGTATCCATGCTCCCTCTCCATAGGATGGTAAAGGCTCGTGATAGAGGCTTCTTGCAGTTCTTGATGAAGACGGAGTTCCATGAGTCTGGCCCTGGGGCAGAGTGCATGGGCATGTCATTTATCGCCTGTTCGAAGTCATTTGGCGTCAGGACAACATCGGATAGGCTTGTGTTAACCAAATTCTGTGGCTCTCCAATAAAAAATTCATTTTGATCTTCGACTCTGTCTGGTTAGCGGCTTGCTAAAAACTGAGTCATATTGGGACTTCAGTAGCTCGCTCATTTCCTTGCTGTCATCTGTGTAGGACCCATCTTGTTTAAATAGGGGCCCAATACTGGACGTTGTTCTCGACTTTGATTTGGCATAGGAGAAGAAATACTTTGGGTTTCTTTCGATTTCATTTATGGCTTTTAGTTCTTCCCGCGATTCTTGACTCCTATAAGATTCCTTTAGCTTAAGTTCGATGCTTGCTATTTCTCTGACCAGTGTCTCCCTACGCATTTCAGATATATTGACCTCTTTTAGCCGCTCTGTTATTCTTTTCCGTCGCCTGTAAAGGGAGCCCCTGTCTCTTTCTATTTTACATCTACTCCTCCTTTTTCTTAGAGGAATAAGCCTTGTGCATACATCGAGTGCCACCAAGTTAGGCATAAGTTGGGGTCTGTGTTGCTTAGTATATCTTCCCAGCTTATATCGGTTAGGACTTGGTTTACTTGGTCCCACTTTGTTTTTGTTATTGAAGTTAAATTTGGTGAATGCTCCCTCGTGACTAATCTCATGTCGGTCTGGGGATCCGCGCATACATGTCTGAACCTCAATTATATAGTGATCTGAGTATATTGTTTTTGATATGGTGGCATTTCTAATCAGATCATCATTGTTAGTGAAGATGATGTCTAGTGTATTCTCCAGTCTAGTAGGCTCTATTATTTGCTGGTTTAAATTGAATTTTGTGCAGAGATTTAAAAGCTCGTGTGAGTGTGAGTTTTCATCAGAGCTGCCTCCTGGTGTTATTACTACAACAATATTATTTGCTATATTCCTCCATTTTAGGTGCCTTAAGTTGAAATCCCCCAGGATGTTGGGTGCAGGAGCTGGAAGATTTTCCAGACAATGGTCAATTTTTAACAGCTGTTCCTGGAATTGCTGGGATGTTGCAACCGGAGGCTTGTAGACTACCACAATGACTAGGTTTTGGTTCTCGATCTTTACTGCTAAAACTTCCACTACATCATTTGAGGCATTAAGCAGTTCTGTGCAAACAAGTGACTCTGCAATGTACAGGCCAACCCCCTTCCTTTTGCCTGTTCACTCTGTCACATCTGTATAGGTTGTAACCTGGGATCCATATTTCGTTGTCCAAGTGGTCCTTTATGTGGGTCTCAGTGAAAGCTGCGAACATTGCCTTTGCCTCTGCAAGCAGTCCACGGATGAAAGGTATTTTGTTGTTTGTTGCTGGCTTTAGACCCTGTATATTTGCAAAGAAGAATGTCATCGGACTGGTGGTATTGTTGGTACTGGGGGGGGGGATTTCTTTTCCGGCATTAGTATCTGTATCTGTTGGTTTGGAGTGGAGGCCATCGACTGTGGTTCCACTCCAGGAATGACTGGATTTGGTGTACGATTTCTGCCATTTCCTGCCAGTTTTTTTCGGGCAAATTAGGTCAGTTTTGTCCCAGGATGCGACCCACAAAAGTCGACTAACAGCCAGGTACTCTTTTTGAACTGATGAGTGAACAGGGACAGGGACAGCAGGTATCTTATGGAAACAAGTCCCTAATGTTTTCCAGCCGTACCGGAGGAGATTCGAACCCTGGACCTCTGTGTGTGTGTGGGCCGAATGCGCTAGCAAATAGAGCTATGGGACAATTGGTGGATTCACTTCTCTCAAGAAATTTAGAACTCAGCCTAATCTTCAAATGAAATTAACTAAGGTGTAATAGAAGAGGTATCGTCAGATATTGATGAAGTTCACATCACATGTCATGGCCGCCTCCCAGTGTATTAATTCTCACTACAAGTATATTTATATTGGCCAATATGAATTGCCTACCGAAAGGGAAGCGTTAGGATATAACACCAAAATCTTAATTTGGTGAGTAATCTTTAATGTCCTTTATATTTTTAATCATGTAATTTATTTGCATTTATATAAAATTACCCAAGTAAATTACGCCGCTGATATTACTGATATTACGAAATATATACAGTCCACATATAATTTGTCAGTGTTACAACATAATTTTTTCAAATAATTTTAAGAACTATATGTTGTAATAATTTAAGGTGGAGACGTGTGAGATGTGATGACCTGAGAAGGTGGGCACGAAGGCAGAGGCGTCGTAAGAGTGTGGCGGTGGGGGGGGGGGGGGGGCTCCCCGGGTGACACCATTTAGGGGGTGACACCATAGAGCCTGTGAAGGTGACACTAATGCCCAAAAGAGTGCTGCACCAACTTAAGAGAAGAATCCTTCGTTTCTATATAGCTTTATTATATATTAACAAAATACAAATAAGCCTATATAGGGAAAATTATTGATTTTGATGTGATAGATGATTTTGCATAATTGAAAGCAAGGAAATGTAAGATCAGATTCACTGAGATGTTACCTGTACTTAAGGTCAAATCGGAACTAGTGTTTCTCTGATATTGCAATGTTTTTCTTTTTTTTTTTCAAGTTTTTTTACACTGTAGATGAATGGTTCAGAGAACCGACATGTTGTTGAATTAGACACATGTGCAACTCTTGGGTATCTTTATTGTGGAAACGTTTCGCCACACAGTGGCTTCATCAGTCCATACAAAGGAGATGAATAAATGTAGGATGTGTTGGCTGTACTCAAAGTGGTATTTGAGTTTGTTTCCTCAATATTACTACGATTATTTATTTTATCATTAATAAAGTTGAGAAGTATTCTCCTGTTCAGTTTATGGCCCTTAAACTTTCTCATTGCTAAACATTTGTCACTCTTCATGCAGTAGTGACGTAACTGGAGTTTACTCCCCCATCCCCCCGCCCTTGAATTTCATGGGGGTGACACCAAAGATGAGCCCCGGGTGACACCAGAGATTCCACACCGGGTGACACCAACTCTAGCGACGCCTCTGCACGAAGGTGGGACATTATAGTGACCTGGTGACCTTAAAGTCCCACTTGACTCTGAGCTACATCATTATCATCAGTAAGTGTAAACTGTTTGATGTACCAAAGTTTCTTTAAAATTATGGTAGTGAAATGTTAATTCAGGACATTGACTGCAAAATTTACCAACATAATTTCTCATTCAATTTTCAGTTATAATGTAACCTCATCTGCTGACCTTCAAGTTCGTCACGTTGGTGTACTGTACCTAGGGAAACATTCAGGGTCGCTGGTTAATTTCATAAAGAAAAAACTATAGCTAATGCAGTACAACTCTTCTCTAGACCTTTCCAAAGTTAAATTAGTCCAACTTGTAACCACTGTTACGAGTCTCGTCTTGGTTAAATACTTTCATAACTTTGTATCCCCTTTATTCCTGTTTTCCACTTGCACACTTCATTCACTTTGAACTCTCTCTTATTTAGCTTATAAGTAACAGTTATTTTCTTTGTCTAGAATTAGAACCTTATATTTTTACGCATCTGTCACTTCTGTGACAACTTCTCCAGGTCATCCTGTAGACAGATGTCTAGTGTCCTCATCAGAGGGGTATCTCCTATTAATTGGATCAAGAACCCTTCACGAGCCTCAAGATCACCCCCCCCCCTCTTCGAAGAAAAAACCGAGTACATAATTTACCCCAAAATTATTCGATCGATATCCATTATGGTCATGGGGAAGCGCTAAACCCGTAGGGATAATGCGGCGAATGGGAGGCAATCATATTTGATTGAAGGAAAAGGAGTAGTACAGCTCTGATTCTCTGGATCATGAACCCTTCCCTGGCATCCCTTGAAGGGTCGAGTGATCTGTATGGATCGACTGTGAATATTTTTTTTTTTACATAAAACGATTGATATTCATTCTCTGCCTTGATCACTGGCACTGTGATGCAGAGCGCATGCACTATATGCGCATAACATTACAAAATGATTCATTATCATGCACGTGCAACGGTGTCGTAATGAGCGCTTTAAAAACCACCCTAATTAATGTGACAAAACAGTTTTATCATATTGAAAGACCGGAAGTGAAGTATGTCCGGTATGAAGGGCGGCCGCTTGTCAGAGTAACCAGGTCATGTCAGTAACAGCAGCAGCAACAGCTGTTCAGCACAAGTGTCTGGAACCTCACGATAGTCGTTCCTTGTCTCACACTCTGCCAATAGAAAGTGAGCAGAGGAAAGAGATTGTGATAATTAAATGGTGTATTGCATTTAATAAGCAAAGAGAGAGGGAAAAAAAAATTGTAAAAAAAAAGTGATTTTTCTGGCTAAGTGACTCAGATTCTTCTCAAGTGTACAAAATACCAGTGGCCTCAGGGTACCGATGACAAGCTCTAGAGACAAGCTCTAAAATAATAAGCCCTAGAATGATGGACCCTAGAATGACGACTGGACCCAGGATGCTGTTAGTGGTCTTGCTGACCACCATGATATGGTCTACTTCAGTCTTCTCGCAGGTAAAGCACAATCAGTCACATATATAATTCACAGGAATCTCTTGCCTTTGGTGAAATACTGCTGCTGTTGATATGTTTTGGGTTAAGGTTGGTATTGAGGGGTGAGATTATAGGGCTTATATTGAACAGAAGAGGTGTTGGGTTGGTAGTGTAGGGGGCTGAAGTTTGTATGTTACTGTGTAGTTGATAGAGTAAAAGTATGAAGGTAATGACAGTAATTAATAAATTCTTATTGAAGACAGTGAGTGTAAAACTTTGACTCCTAGGAGACAACAGTGTTCCAAGACTTTCAGCCTTGACAACATGCCGCCCATGCACTCTGCCACAGGCCCATTCTCCTGGAACTCCATGTTAATCAAGAGCTAAATATTCTATGGAGAGGGAGTCTAGACACGGGGGTCATCCCAGTCATTAAAAATAACTGATATAGCCTCGCACCACAAAGATGGTAGAAAAAGCAATAGCTTTTCTGCTACATGGATTTACAACCATTGCTCAACCCAGAGACAGCATGGGTAGTGCCTCTTAATTACTGAACCACCCCGCATACCTTTGGATGCACTGGAAGTCAAACAAAATACACAGACTTTGCAAAAGTCTTTCACAAGTGCGACCATTGTGTAACAGCGCACAAAATGCGGGCAAAATGTATAACTAGAAAAGTGGGCAGATGAATTTTTAGCTAGAAACAGAATGCATGGAGTAACAGTAAGCATAGTTGTAAGTCAGATGCTGTCAGTGAAAATCTGTTCCCCAAGGCACAGCACTTCCCCTCCCATTTTTATTCTTATCTTAATATCCAACATAGACAGTGATATAAATCATACCACCATCCCGCATCATCCTTTGCAGACGATACTAGAATTTGCATTTGACATCCGTGGAGTACACTGCAAATCTCCAAATGAATATAAGCAAATATAAAGTTCAATGATGACAAATTTCAGTTACTCCGTTATGAAAAACTTTGAGAAATAAAAGCTAGAACGGAGTACACCTAATTTTAACCACTTGGTAGAGCGAAAAATTAACAGCGAGAAAAATAACTGATGGATAACTAGAACCTCCAAACAAGTGATACCAGCTAATGATCCTTTTGTTACTTGTTCTCTCTAGGCTGCAGTATTGCTGTACACAGCCCCTGTAAAGTCAGCAAAACTTTCAGATTCAGAGAATGTATAGAACCTTCAGTACACGTATGACATCAGTTAAGCACCTTAGTAACTAGGAATGTTTGAAGTCCTTTGAAATGTAGACCAAAAAAAAAATGCATCATAATTTACACCTGGAAACTCCTAGAGACGTCAGACCCAAAGCAAAAAGTGCTCCCCATGAAAAGTAGGGATATCATGAGTACGTAGAGACAACTTAAGGGTAAGGGGTCGCAAGACTATTAAACAACCTCCCGTGATACATGAGGAAGATACTAGCAATCTTCTAGCTGTCTTCAAAAGGAAATTTGATTAGTTCAAGTCGGTTCCTGATCAGCCAGGCTATGGTTCACACGTAGTACTGCGTGTGACCAGTAACAGCCTGGTTGATCAAGCATGGATCTACCAGGAGGGATGGCCTGAGACCGGGCCTCACTGGCGTTGACCACTGAAAACATCGCTCAGGTAACATTGTACCATCCGGTAAAAGTAATTTTGTCAGAACAAAGGTAGAGGTTTTCCAAAGGAACTGAGGCTTATCGTAACAGAAAGTGCAAAAATAAGCAAGTTGTCATAGCTCTATATACTGGCTGCTAGCAACAACCTGGTTTACCAGACAGTATGGCCTCGGTCTGGACTTGGAGAGTTAAGAAACTCAAATCTGGCAACAGGTAAGTAGAATCTGAACTTTTATTTAGCAAAATTGGATAAATCAGCAGTGTGCTGCTACCCAATTCTATGCGAGTGTTTGATCTAGTCCAGGGGGAGAGGGAAGAAGGAGAGGGGTAATTTCCCCCTCCCTAACAGGGTGTCCTCAGCACGTTTCAATATTCTTTGAGTTCTGCTATTTACTTTGGTGTTGCCTCTTATTAACTCATACCTCTTCAGCTCTATGGAGAAAGATAGTATTTACACTACACTCCTTCAAACAACTGGGCGCTATTATCAAATGAATATTTACCTGTTTTATAGTGTTATCTTTGTGTGGAGGGGGGTACGTTATCTAATGTTAAAAGTTCTTTGAACATGTTTTTACTGGTAGTCTGGCAGACGAACAGATTGTTCTTTACTGCAGAGTATGAATGACTGTTCCTTCGAGGAGACGGAAGTGGGCGTATCCACCTGTAACCTGCTCCTGGATGCCTCCCTGTTCTGCGTGGAGTCTTGGAAGACTGGCACTGGAAGCACTACCTCCTGGCTAGGTGGACCTCCTGTTGATGCCAGGCACAACCCCAAAGGTAAGATTACTTATTATGTAATAGCTCTGGCGGTTTAGAGATTCCTCATGAATATAATTATTATAAAAGTAATTATAATGAAAATTATTTAAGTAAAATTTATTAAAAATAATAGTTTTAATATAAAAAATTAAGAGTTAGAATACTATAGACGATGGAAGTCACTGATTTTTTGGGGGGGTTATCCAAGGTAATTTACATTATGACAGTTGTACATGTGTACCTGTACCTAAATAAACATACAGATAGATAGTTTATTAAGACCTGATACATAGTTCTACAAGGAATTATAGTAGTTGGGTGTACATGCCAAAAGCCCCTTGTATGCAGAGCATTATGGACAGGCTTAAAATTAACATAAGATTAACTAAGCTATAACAGATTCAGTGGTAAAAGCTACAGTAAACAATTTACAGTATGAAGTACAATTGAGTATTTTAAACAATGGGATTTGAACATTTCAATTTTGACGTTGTTTACATGGTGTTGATGTAGGAGGGTACGTGTTCACCACTACCACAGACATGCTACGCTCACTACAACAGCCTAGAAGATCTTGGCTCATCACTGCCCCCACCAACACCACAGGACCATCAGGAAGGTGTCTCCAGTTTGATGTGAGGATATTCACCTTAATACTCGGTGACCCATGGGGGTTTCAAGCTTTTTTGTGAATGTAATAATGTAAATTGAGTTACCTTATTGTTGTTATCTTGATTTAAAAATCTTAATGGACAGCTTAACATTTTCCTCTGGGAATGGGCAGCCTATCATGAGATAAATTGTGTAATACCGCCAAGTTAATGAGACGCTTGTGCAGTACCTGGGTACCTTTATTGAAAGACGTTTCGCCCTCACATCAGGCGTTATCAGTTTAATACAATACAGATGATTGTAAAGGATGCTGTACAGGCGAAACTTCTCATTGAAGATACTCAGGCATTACACGTCTTATTCATCAAGGACAGTCTAATTTATTTTATCACCAGTTAAATATAATGTGACGGACAGACTGAGTGTTTTCTGAAGTATTCTATAGGCGGCCTTGGTGTAGAGTGGCTGGAGGTCCTGTTGGTAACCTACCACAGCGAGAACATCAATGAAGCTCTCAAGAATAGCAGTGTTCCCTTAGACTACCAGGTCATGCCTCTCTGGAGAACCAAGCAGACTACACACGGGGAATGGCAAGGAGCACAAGTCACCTTCTCTACACTCCATGAGCACAGTTTGGTGTTCTCCGCCTTTCCTGACACACACTACGCAAAATATCACGGCTACGTGGCAATGGATGACCTTAGCTTCACTGACGGACCCTGCCAGCGTTAGTTTAATGTTCTTTCACGAGAAACGGAGGTGTTATTAAAGGAGCTTAAATTTTGTCACGAGTTCACTTCACATGCTTGACAGTAATTATGCTACCCCAGTTTATTTAAAAGCATAGCCCCCTCTTAATAATAATAATAATTAATAATAATAATATTTACAAGTGCATGATATACAGGCCTAGCTGACAGTGACATACTGTATAGAAAACCGCTTATGCTGAGCATTTCGGGCAAATTAGGTCAGTTTTGTCCCAGGATGCGACCCACACCAGTCGACTAACACTCAGGTACCCATTTTGAACTGATGGGTGAACATTGACAGGGACAACAGGTGTCTTATAGAAACACGTCCCTAATGTTTTCCAGCCGTACCGGAGATTTGAACCCCGGACCTTAGTGTGTGAGGTGTAAGCTGAGTGCGCTAGCGATTGAACTACTGGACACCCTCCATTCTCAGGATGCCACCTACAACAGTCTACAAACACACAAGTACCTATTACTAGGTGAGAATCGCTCCGAGAATGGAACCGTGTGTTTGAGCTACAGGTCTAAATTATGTCATTGGGTATTACGGGTCTATGCTCCTGGTGGGGCTCTGGTGGCTAAAGCTCTCGCTTCGCAGGGCGAGGGTCTGGGTTCCATTCCCAGCCAGGATAGAAACATTGGGTGTTTCTTTACACCGGTTGTCTACGTTTACCCATTAGTAAAATGGGTACCTGGATGTTAGTCAACTGGTGTGGGTCGCATCCTGGGACACTGACCTAATTTGCCCGAAATGCTCAGCATGACAAGCTGCTTTCTATACTGGAGTATGTCATTGATGTCAGCTAGGCCTATATATCATGTACATGTACTTGTAGTCAAAGATATTATTATTATTATTATTATTATATTATATTTATTAATTCTGTAGTTTTGTCCCTAAGAGTTCCTGAGTGGAGGCTCTGATTAGGGAATGGTTGTCCCAGTTCCAATGAGCTGAATGCCTTCCTCCCCCCCCGGCGCTGTAACCCTGGGTTAGCTTCCCTTGATTTAATAATATGTAGTTCTGTATCTCACATGTAAGGATATGAGCAGAAGATTCAGGAATGTATCTGAATGCCATATGAAACCACGAAGGCAACAATCCCAATGAAATATACCTCAGCCAGTGCGGGTAGTAAGCCAATGGAGTGTAAGATGGTTCCTGCACAGTGATGGATTAATGGATGTAGCCGCTCAGAGCTCATTAAACTAAATTCGTGGTGTCTGTGAAGATTCATCACACCCCTTCGCCGTTCTCGAAACCATTCATACAGCTAGAAATCTAATGTTTTTTTATATTACGTAAATTTTAGCAATATTTGGTTAGGCTGCTAGGTTAGTTTTAATATAAAAGAAATTCTATAAAAAAGATTCATAACTATATTTCACTATCATGGGGAAGGGGAAAAATTCTTAGATTCAAAAGTAATAGCATTCATAACCCTAGTAGTGACAAAGTATAGTGTTTACGTGTTTCAGAGGACTGCATGTTTGACTTGGATTTGTGTTCTTGGAGCAACAGTGAGACCACCGACGACTTTGATTGGAAAATCGGGCGGAGCAGTGAGAAGAGAGGTACAGGGCCCTCTCGAGACCAGGCCTCCTCACTCATCACACGCATCACCACCGGTACATTAACATTGTTACCCTCACAACTGTGTGAAAACACATTTGCATGCATCAACTCTGGGATTTGTACACATTCAGCCAGGCAAGCATATAAAACATTGGGAAACTGTCAGCCTTATTTTGTGAATATGAAATGTAATTTGTGGTTATAAACAAAAAATACTTGGTCATGTATAATATGTCATTTGGAAGTACCTGGCCCTGTGGGACCAATAGACTTGCAACAAGTTATTCAGGGATTGAGATTGAGATTTTGCCACCGAAGTGGCTAGTTTATTGTGCACCCCCATATCCATCCTGTGGACGGTAGCACAAGAGCATATGGATACACAAAAGGCCCAGGAACTAGGCCCCAAAGGGTTAACATGAATATATATGTTACAAACAAATTTAGGAAGTTTGCTTAGTATATCTGGTATCTTATTTTCATTAATAAAATATCTTGACATGTCACATAGGTTATAATACTGTCTATCTCTGTATTCCTCAGTAAGCGGACAGTTAAGCACATAGTGTTCAAGACAGTCACCATATGCCTGATCACATAATTTGCATTTAGTTTGATCATCATCTGTGTGTCTCCCAAACTGCCAGACGTACTTGTAACCAAGCCTAAGCCTGGCCACTACAACATCAGTCAGTCTGTTCACACTGCAAGTTGCTCCATAAACATACTTATCTATGTTCATGTTATCATAGTGGGTTATTGATCTGCTCAGGCTTCTAACTGCATTCCTATAACAATCATTTTCATTATTTTCTTCTCTCTAATATTATTCCTAATGCTAGACAGATATACCAAAGTTATATTCTACATTCTCCTTCTGGATACTCTTCTTGGCTAACATATCAACTTTATCATGAAGGAGTAATCCAATGTGTGATGGGATCCATAGCAACTGTACATTAATTCCTTTGTCCCTGATTTTTTATTATCTATACCTGGCTTCTCCAATGAGAATGTAGGAGTCATTATACAAGTTAAGAGCATTCAGTGATGACATAGAATCAGTAATGATGATAGTCAAGCTCAGTGTCATAGGTTAGCTTTACCTGGAGTTTACCTGGAGAGAGTTCCTGGGGTCAACGCCCCCGCGGCCCGGTCTGTGACCAGGCCTCCTGGTGGATCAGAGCCTGATCAACCAGGCTGTTGCTGCTGGCTGCACGCAAACCAACGTACGAGCCACAGCCCGTTGGATTGCAAACAATTCAGTTTGCAGTATAGATGCCAAGTTGTTAATTCTTATGCCTAACTAACTCAACAAATTTATTATGGTTCTTAACTAGGGAGGTGGCAACAAGAGCAGATGCAGCCCTGCCAGAAGACTCCTGTTTAGATCCATCAGTGTATATAACTTGTGATAACTTATTACTACTAGCTAGGCGAGAAATTTCTTCTTGAGCAGCTGCTTTAACAAGTGATTTAAGGAAGGGATTACTAGCAATGAGCTTCTTGCGAGGGACTTGCAGGTCTGTGATATTAAATGAGCACATCTTCCATGGAGGGGTGAAATGTTCTTGTTGCCTACAGTGATACAGTTCATGCAGGTTATAAAACTTAATGCAATTGCACGTTTTCACAATCCATTTAGATCTATGTGTATTTACCTCTAGACACTTGGTAAGATTCATTGTGACAGTCTGGTTCATTTCTCAACATTCTAATACCTAGTACAGTGTTAATCTCAACAATCCTATCACTGATACTAGAAATACCGAGCTCCTTCCTCATATTAAGAACCTTTGTAGATCTGGGACACCCAAGAATAATTCTGAGAGCTTCATTCTGCATTAACCCCAAGGGTCGGAGAGAACTTTCCCTAGCTAATATCAACATGGGAGCAGCATCATCAATTAAGGACGGTCAGTATTCAGGGATTGACAGGACATGAGTGCTTGACTTTTTCAACAAGAATTAGAAAAGATTCAGTTAGATTTGAATTTCTTGCACAAAGTCGCCCCATTGCATGTGCGAATGCAAGTCACACCAGGAAGCGGCTTCCCAGTGTGACTTTTTTCTTTCTGTATCACAATGCTTCTGCTTCCCTCTCTCCTACAGGTAGCCTTCAGTCTATATGACTGTATTATATAAGAACATTACTTGCATCTTGCAGGTGGGTATGCATACGTGGACAGCAGTTACCCACGGCAGCCTGGGGATGTGGCGTGGCTGGTGTCTGCAACCTTGGAGCCCACCACGGAGCCTCTGTGTCTTCACTTCTGGATCAACATGCATGGTGGTGGCATGGGCAGTGTCAGGTATTATCTTGATATTCTGCATATTGAATTGATACTAAGGTATTAAAGTTTGAGATTCTGGTGCATATGCACAGGAGTATATATGTACAAACATACACGCAGTATATGTATTTTTATACTTTGCTGCATGTAAACTTTGACTGGCTATGTGATTCCTTTTGTACGTATTGAGGTGGACGGGGCTGGACTTATGAGATATGGGGAAATATCTTTCTCGGATCGTGCAGCAACCAAAATACATTTGGTTTTTAACAGGGTGAGATAGTAAGCTAGCGGCATCTCTCGATCATATTACCAAGAAACTCCACTGCAATACCTAAAACCCACTGCAGTAGAAATTGTCCAATCTCTCCTGACTAACAAGATGCTACCACATCTTTATTTTCATCATTAGAATAAAAAAATTGTCTCCCAAAGAGTTTAGTGCTGGATGTAGTCTACACCATTCTTGTAAACAAATAAGTAACTTCTGAATCACTTCTCATAAGCTTTACTTTATCTACTTATTATTTTATATTGGTAATTTCCAAATAGGTAGAAGTGTTCGAGTGAATATGTACATAACAGCATTGTACATACAGTCTCAAGTCACAAAAGTTGAATTTTCTTCTTTCCCTTGGTAAAAATAGGCCATTTTCAGACTTGTATATGACTTGTAGATTCATCCTAATAGACTGGCATCCATATTGGTGGTGAAACAATGCAGTGATGGGCTATGATAGTATTTCTTGCACAGTTCATCATCCTGTAACCTTTCTTTATTGTTTGCTAGAGTCCTGCAAATGCCCCTCAACAGTCCAGTGGAGAGCAAAGAATTATGGAGACTTTGGAAGGGAGCCAGTTGGGGTACTGACACGTAAGTTAAGAGAACTCTAGAACAATCATCCTTAATTCACACTGAATGAAGCCTATGTCATGCTTCCACATAGCTTAGAATTTTTTGAACATGCAAAATGTATTTTTAACAAAGAATAGCATAGTCTTAATTAGTTGGCTATTAGTATTATTGTCATCTACCTTAAAATTTTATAATCTGAATCTGTTTACTGTTTAGTAACATGCTATATTTTATTCACTGATGTATTGAAGCATCACAAGGTTGATTCTTCCTAGATGGCAGTATTCAATTTCTTATTCAGAAAAAAGTTTGGATCAAGGCCAGTATATACGATCATTAATTTTGCTGGCTCAAAATACATATATCAAATGTTTATGTATGCATATGAAGATGACTGTAATATGTACCCTATATTTCACAGATGGTACCCCTGCCAGCAAACTGTAGCATCTACTGAGGAGTTTCAGATAATCTTCGAAGCTTCAGTGGGTGTTCCTGGAGCAGGAGATGTGGGCCTTGACACTATTTCCTTCTCACGGGGAGCTTGTCCAAGTAAAGTGTCTTCGAGTTGTAGTGGCCAGGTTTGAGTGGCTGTGCCTGACCCAGCAACCTCTTCTTTTATTTAGCATACCTGGTGGATATTTTTTCCCCATTCTTAATTTTATTTGTATTGGGATTTAAGAAAAGGGTAATTATTCTATTTTTCTCGTTTTCTCACTATTGTCAGTGCTAAGCTGAGTTTGTGACACCTATAGGGGCTTTAATTTTTTTTTGTATCTGGTGGCTGTCTGGCGGAAATGCTAACAGAGATCTTTCTTTGTATCGGACATCTGTATCCGTGTCTTCATAGGTCACATGCACAGTGTCCTTGGGAAGTAATGGGCCTTACAGATGAACATAGTTATACAAGGGCCATCAGAATGTGAGCTTTAGACCTTTCTCTTACAACAAGCATTGTAATTATGTAAGGTGCTCCTACCCCTCTTTGGGAATTATAGCATGCAGCTGATTGTGAAATGAGTTTTTAACTGCTTGGCTTCAACCTTTTCACCTAAGTCATTGATTTTATAATTACCGGAGTACCTAGGGTCCTTGAGTACATTTGAGTGGTCATCTTTAGACAGCAACAACAGTTTAATTTTTAATGAACTGCTGCAGGTTAGTTGAACCTGGTGATATTATTTATTATTTTTAATCATCTTGTTTTTATGATTTTTGTTTTAATATTATAATTTAGGCTTTCAAGTGTTAGTGTGTATGGTTGTATTAACTTTTCTTTACCAAAGTACTTTATGACCTTGTCTCCTTTCAGTCGCTGCATTTGGACATATAATTTAAATTTCAGAAGTGTGTTGTAAGATATGCTAATAACCTTATATTTTTTTATGTAATAAATATATTTTGTATTTACATGCACTATAATGTTCTAAAATGCTTATTGGAATTAGCAACATGACCTGGCAGACACATACAAATGGGTAATGTTTATACATTCTTTGCTCCCATTTAACCCTCCACTAACTCATGGGCCTCCTGGCTATCATAAGGCTTCATTTAAACCCCTATACATAATTGTTGAAATATCATTAATTTAATTACAAAGAATTTGTAGCTAGTTTAATGTAAAAAAATAATCAACTCTGTGAAGAATGTGGTATATCCTTTCTATCCAATCATTAACACCAAGGATATTTTAATCCCTAAAAAATGTAAAAATAAGTAAACTTACACTGCAGTTACATCATCTCGTATGCATACCCTGCATTTCGTAATAGGCTTAATTAGTAGTCAATACATTGGGGATATTAAAGCCACAAAGTTAGGTAATAAAGTATTTCTCAGGGTAAATAAACACACCTCCCGCTGTGTATATTCCCAGAGAACGCATGTTCAGATGATGTACTAAGAGTTTTCCATATTTATGGCAGGTTTACCGCTAAGCTCAAGTCCTGGGTGGGGCGACTGTACCTTCCTGGATGATACATGCAGCTGGCAGGTTCCCAGCATCACCAGCAGCTATGACTGTAACTTTCTCTCGAGAGTAGCTGGCAACAAATACAACCCACCTGGCCATACTGAGTGAGTGAGGCAAGCATATATCAGCCACTTGCAGGGAGTCTTACTCAGTCAACATGAATGTAGTCTTAATTCTGTCCTATGCACTGTGTTTTTCTCATTTCCAAATTCAGCAGTGGATGGGTATGCTCTTAAATTAATTTTGGTGTGTGGTCACCATGAACTACTAACAACAGATTTACCTCCAGCTCCAGGTCTACTGATGGTGTTCAAACACACTAATAAGACTTTTTACAAGATGAAACAAGATACCTGGAAAAAAAACATGGTCTGGAATCTTCAGTTGCATGAACAGAGTGCAAGGGAGCTAGTTGTACAAACTTATCCTTACCTGGAATGGATAACATGGATGACCTGTTAAATATCTTATGTGCAGTAAAAAGGATTGTTTGTTTTTCAAACGTTTTCTATAACAAACTGTCAGCTGTTGTATGCTGTTCATATTAGCAAATATTCATAATATGTGGCACCATTCTGGTTATGCTTGGAATTCAATTTATCTAGTGCACATCCCATGCATGGTGCACAGCACATTGTGTCCTGTAATTAGATTGCTAGTGCACTCGACTCGCACATTGAGGTCTGTGGTTCAATCCACAGTATGGGTGGAAACATTAGGACAGGTTTCCTTAAGCCACCTGCTGTCCCTTTTCACCTAGCAGTAAAATAGGTACCTGGGTGTTGACTGGTGTGGTTCGCATCCCAATTTGCCCGAAATGCTCTGCATAACAAGGGGCTTTCTATATACAGTGATTGATGTCAGCTAGGCCTGTATATGTTGTACATGTACAGTAGAACCCCTGTATCCACTGATTTGGTATCCACAGTTTCAATTATCCACGGTTTGCTGTGGCTCAAAAATACCTCTTCATTTTGCATAATAATGGCCCCAAAGCACAAAAGTAGAAAGCTGGCAGTTCTTCAAAGCCTAAGAGAAGCCATGAAGTGAAAAAGTGATAATTCTCTACTTTTTGTGCATAATTTATCAATTAAACTTTATAATAGGTATGTATAGAACCTGTATACTGTTTGCTAATATCTGCGATTTCAGTATCCACGGCAGGTCCTTGGAATGTATACCCTGCGGAAATGGGGGTCCTACTGTACTTAAAGAAATAAAGATTATTATTCTTATTATTATTCAGATATTGGTTTTGTTTTTGGGCTAATATTTTATCGAATATGAAAGATAATTAAATTGTGACTGCACCAGTGCATTGACACTAACATTCATTTCAACTTATTTTATTATTATTTTTGTTTTTAGAAAAACAAAAGGAATAAATATGTATGCAGTGTACCAATAGTTAAATTTCATTTTACTTATGTTGTATATAATGCTCCTCAAGTATTCATAAGTACATATAACACAGCAAAAATAAATTGTACTGCAATTGGTTCTAGGTACTCATTTTTCTTACTAAAATGACTGGGCTATTAACCATTTTCATTTGTGCTTATGTTGCTGCATTTCATGTAATTCTGTCATACTGTTTTGCAGAAGTGTGTATGAGATCACAGACATGTATATGAAGTTCAACCTCAACTGCTATAAAACCCATGCCCGAGACAGAGCAGCCCTGGTGTCCCCTGTCATCACCACCAGCTCAGACCTCTGCCTTTCTTTCTGGGTCTTCATGTACACAAACATCGCCTCTCAGATCCATGTTGGGGCACTCAGAGTAAGGAAGAAGTAATTTTTTTAACATTATTTTACTTTCACTTGTGCACTGAATTTAAAAAAGTCATAAGGGGGGGTCAGCTCATTGTGTGGGTAAATTTTATCTCTACGCTTGAGTATCCTCAGCAGGTCTGGAGTTGTCTTACACATTGGAATTATAGTTTGAATAAAAATGTTAGTTTGCCAATTGATGTAAGGCAAACCAACAGTGCCTAAGAATGTCCCTCCTGAATCAATCAAAATGACTTCAGTACTTTACCTCTCAATACACCAGTCGGATTTGTGACTGGTGCTGAATACTTTGTGCCATATGAGTGGCTAGTTTATTATGCACCCTATGCTCATCCTGTGAGCAGTGGTGCAGACAAGAGATATGAATTACAGAAATCACAATGGATATGCCAGACACAACTTGGCATGTTATAGTAGTCATTTCATTTTTTAATAACCTGGCTAATCATCTACCCAGTGCAATATGTGGAGACAGTCTTATTACCCCTAGGTAGTAGGGTTGATAGGCAGCAACAGCCCAGGGAGGTACAATCGTCCTGCCAAGTGAATGTGAAACTGAAACCTGTAATTGTTTTACATGATGGTAGGATTGCTGGTGTTCCTTTTTTTTTTTTTATAAACACACAGGATAACAGGTATATCTTGCTACTTCTACTTACACTTAGGTCACACTACACATGCATGTACCTGCATGTGTGTTTACACACCCATCTGGGTGTTCTATTTTCTTAATAGTTCTTGTTCTTCTTGATTTCCTCTTATCTCCATGGGGAAGTGGAAAAGAATTCTTCCTCCATAAGCCATGCGTGTCATAAGAGGCAACTAAAATGCCGGGAGTAAGGGGCTAGTAGCCCCTTCTTCGGTATAAATTACGAAATTTAAAAACAAAAACTTTAGTTTTCCTCTTTAGGTTACTCTGCCTCGGTGGGATTCAGCCAGTTTGTTAATCTTATTACCACTATACACATTGGTCTCTTGGTAGGTCGGTTTTCATTAACAGAGCAATACAGTTGTTCTTCTGGTCCATTACTTAGGTTTGAATTTTTGTTAGATTATGGGCTGGATGTTTTCCATGTAAGATAGTTGTTAGGTTTTTTAACCCAGAGAGTTAGCCACCCAGGATAACCCAAGGAAGTCATTGCCATTGGGGACTGTCTTATTTCCATTGAGGTTCTTTAATCTTGTTCCCAAGATACAACCCACAAAACTAGACTGAACAGAGACAGTGTTACACGTCTTGTTTTATATAACCACACACTGGGACTATGTATTTACATATGTTGATTTGGCTTTTTCACTTAATATTATATTAAGGAGTATCTTCATTAATAGCTACAATGAATATACAGTGGACCCCCGCATAACGATATTATTTCAATCCAGAAGTCTGTTTGAGTGCCGTTATAGACCGAATTTGTTCCCATAAGAAATATTGTGAATTAGATTAGTCCATTTCAGACCCCTAGAAATACACCTACAAAAGCACTTACAAAAATAAACTTGCATAATTGGTCGAGTTGGGAGCTGATCGTTATCCGGGGGTCCACTGTACTCTGCTTTATAATATTATTTGGCCATAAATTGTTTAGCTTTGTTTCATTGTTCTAAACTGCTGTTGCAGCAAGGTTAAGCACCAGGGGACAATTTGAGCTACTCAACCTCCACTCAGTCCAAGTTGAAGTCTGGTGGTAAAGCCTAACCTTGTTCAGTTCACGCCTCCCTCTAGTTGAGGAAGGATCTGGTGGAGAGCCTGGCTTTAAGCTTCGCTATAATTCCAAAGAGTACCCCGGAAATTTGGAAGCCCTATGGTCGGGCATTACTTGGCGGTTGGGAAGCTCCTAGAAGTTATGAGTAACAGTGAATGGGTCTAAGTGATAAGGTGTTTGTAAACTCTGTGAGAAGGGATATATTGTGAAAAGCCCTCTGAGGAAGAATTCGATTACTTGTATTAATATTATAAACACCTGTGTATATACCTCTTTTGACTCAATGTGATTGAGTCTAGAAAATCTACATGACTGTTTCCTTTTGTGAATACTATATGTATTTAGTAAGTTATCTATCTGGATAACATTTTAATATAAAAAGATAATTATCTCTACTCATGATTATTACGGTATGAGTAGTCTTCCTTTTTATTTAAGAAATAATGGAAACATTGTGATTATTAATGTAATAAAACCAGCCTCAATAAGTGGTCCCAGTGATTGATATCCTCTAGACAAGATGAACCTGTTCTTTTGGTGTATGTTTGTTATGAGGAGCACTATAGCAGGGAGGTCCCGGGCCCTGTTCATAAAAGACAGCAGTTGTAAGGAAATGTGCCCAGTGTTTCCACCCATGCTGGGGACTGAACCACAGATTCTCAGTGTGCTAGGCAAGTGTGTTGTCAATGTGTTGTAAGGTTTTTTGATAGTCTGAAGGCACCCTTGTTCTGTTCAGTTTTGTCTTTTATGTCCATAATCACAGATTTCCAGGCACTGTCCTTGGGATCTGTTCCCATCTTCAGTAATAAGTTTGATGTCTTTCCTCACCATAAAGTACATATTCATCTTGATGCACAATGTTTGTGCTACGAGTCCCATAAGCATACTTTCTTTCAACACACCGGCCATGTCCCACCGAAGCGGGGTGGCCCAAAAGGAAAAAACGAAAGTTTCTCCTTTTACATTTAGTAATATATACAGGAGAAGAAGAAGAAGAGCAGAATGTAAGTGTGGGGGAGGTACGTGAGGCATTACGTAGAATGAAAGGGGGTAAAGCAGCTGGAACTGATGGGATCATGACAGAAATGTTAAAATCAGGGGGGTATAGTGTTGGAGTGGTTGGTACTTTTGTTTAATAAATGTATGAAAGAGGGGAAGGTACCTAGGGATTGGTGGAGAGCATGTATAGTCCCTTTATATAAAGGGAAGGGGGACAAAAGAGATTGTAAAAATTATAGAGGAATAAGTTTACTGAGTATACCAGGAAAAGTGTACGGTAGGGTCATAATTGAAAGAATTAGAGGTAAGACAGAATGTAGGATTGCGGATGAGCAAGGAGGTTTCAGAGTGGATAGGGGATGTGTAGATCGTGTTTACATTAAAGCATATATGTGAACAGTATTTAGGTAAAGGTAGGGAAGTTTTTATTGCATTTATGGATTTAGAAAAGGCATATGATAGTGGATAGGGGAGCAATGTGGCAGATGTTGCAAGTATATGGAATAGGTGGTAAGTTACTAAATGCTGTAAAGAGTTTTTATGAGGATAGTGAGGCTCAGGTTAGGGTGTGTAGAAGAGGGGGAGACTACTTCCCGGTAAAAGTAGGTCTTAGACAGGGATGTGTAATGTCACCATGGTTGTTTTATTTATAGATGGGGTTGTAAAAGAAGTAAATGCTAGAGTGTTCGGGAGAGGGGTAGGATTAAATTATGGGGAATCAAATACAAAATGGGAATTGACACAGTTTTTGCTGATGATACTGTGCTTATGGGAGATTCTAAAGAAAAATTGCAAAGGTTAGTGGATGAGTTTGGGAGTGTGTGTAAAGGTAGAAAGTTGAAAGTGAACATAGAAAAGAGTAAGGTGATGAGGGTATCAAATAATTTAGATAAAGAAAAATTGGATATCAAATTGGGGAGAAGGAGTATGGAAAAAGTGAATGTTTTCAGATACTTGGGAGTTGACGTGTCAGCGGATGGATTTATGAAGGATGAGGTTAATCATAGAATTGATGAGGGAGCAAAAGGTGAGTGGTGTGTTGAGGTATATGTGGAGTCAAAAAACATTATCTGTGGAGGCAAAGAAGGGAATGTATGAAAATATAGTAGTACAAACACACATGGGTGTGAAGCTTGGGTTGTGAATGCAGCAGCGAGGAGGCGGTTGGAGGCAGTGGAGATGCCCTGTCTAAGGGCAGTGTGCGGTGTAAATATTATGCAGAAAATTCGGAGTGTGGAAATTAGGAGAAGGTGTGGAGTTAATAAAAGTATTAGTCAGAGGGCTGAAGAGGGGTTGTTGAGGTGGTTTGGTCATTTAGAGAGAATGGATCAAAGTAGAATGACATGGAGAGCATTTAAATCTGTTCGAGAAGGAAGGCGGGGTAGGGGTCGTCCTCGAAAAGGTTTGAAGGAAGGGGCAAGGGAGGTTTTGTGGGCAAGGGGCTTTCACTTCCAGCAGGCATGCATGAGTGTGTTCAATAGGAGTGAGTGGAGACGAATGGTATTTGGGACCACCTATCTGTTGGAGTGTGAGCAGGGTAATATTTAGTGAAGGGATTCAGGGAAACCGGTTATTTTTGTATAGCCAGACTTGAGTCCTGGAAATGGGAAGTACAATGCCTGCACTCTAAAGGAGGGGTTTCGGGATATTGGCAGTTTGGAGGGATATGTTGTGTATCTTTATACGTATATGCTTCTAAACTGTTGTATTCTGAGCACCTCTGCAAAAACGGTGATTGTGTGAGTGAGGTGGAAGTGTTGATTGATGATGAAAGTATTTTCTTTTTGGGGATTTTCTTTCTTTTTTGGGTCACCCTGCCTCGGTGGGAGACGGCCGGCTTGTTGGAGGGAAAAAAAAAAATACAGAAGGGGTTATGAGCCCCTTTGCTCCTGGCATTTTAGTCTCCTCCTACAACACGCATGGCCATAAGCATACTATTATCCCTAAATTCTGATGTCTAAGCTCCAACCTATTTTTTCTGTGTATTGTTCATTATAGTCTACATAGAATGGCAGAAACACCAGCATTGCTGCTGATTGTCTGGGTCTGGTAATCAAATCAAAATCAAAGTTATGAATGTTTTTGTGCGTGTGTGTGTGGGGGGGGGGACCCTTGCTACATTAGTACCATGTTAATTCAGTAACATGTTGATCATCTGTGTTGCCTATTGGAAACTTGTATTTGTGTTGTCATCTTTAGGAGTGGATAGGATTTTTTGAGCTCCCTTGTCTGCAGTCTTGGATAAATTGTGATGAAAATTGTAGTGCAGTTCATGTGATAAGCT